AGTAGCCCAAAAGTTGGCGGTGGGGGGGGATGATAAGCAACCTTCCCTTTAGTTTTTCACTGCTAAATTAGGGACAGCTAGCACAGATAGCCCTTGTGTAGCTTTACACGAAATTCAAAACAAACAAACAAACCTCTTGCGAGTGACCACATTGTGTCAAACTTGGGCTTCTGCAAGAAACAATATTTCAAACAACAGATACAATACTTTTTTGATACATACGCGTCACAAAAAAGTGGTGTCTCAATTCATATATAAACAGTTATGAATTAACTGAATATTCACGTCGTTAAGATGTAACATCCCTTATCGATTGCACTACTACTTATTTCTAAGCTCCTGGTTCAATCATTCATTCCAACTTTTAATATAGACCCATATATGTGTTGTTCTTTTTTGAGCCATAAGAAGTGGGGTGCTATAACGCCCCTAATTTTGCAGCTTATGCATAGATATACAAGTTATTTACTATGTTGCTATTAAATTACAAATTTTAGCTTCGTGAGTAAATGCTGTTACAGCTAAGGTATTTGTATTTTGTATTTATGACAAAGCTACTAAGGTTATCTGCCTGCCACTGTACTTAATTTTGAACTATTGATCAGAGAAAAGGTGTCAGTCAGCAGCACCCTACCACCCATTATCCACACTAACTTACTGACCTGTCACTATTATGATGCATCCACACCTAAGAGTGTGGGGAATATTTTGTGGTACCACATTAATTCATCTTGCCTCGCCAGCTTTACCACATGGCCAAATCGATTCTCTACGTTACAGGTCCACGTGTTTAAGTAAAAAAATACATCAAATACTGAAACAGCAAGCCATTTTCTCACAATAAGTAATTCTCTTATAATTCAGTAAATATCATATTTTTTAATTCAATCAAATTCTTGTTTTTATTTTTAATTAGCATATCGAAATAGAAAATAAAATTTATTCATTCTATCAGTATAATTAGGTATAATCACATATTTTGTCAGTACTTAACAAAACTAATTCTCAGGTTAATATGTAACATTAGATGAAATAAAACACAGCAGCTCTTTGGGATGATACTGCTGCCATCTGCTGCTATTTATACAAATTATAATAATCCCTTTGTGAGGCTCAGTTTTTACACAGAAACTTTAGACTTGGTACTTTTTTACAACTAGTATATGTATATAAATTCACAATAAAATATTTGTATCCCGGTATTATATCATCAATCAGAATAGAAGAAACTGGTAAATATGTGTATGAAACACAACTTGGAAAATGTTTTGATTTCACTTTTACGTAATTATTTCACTTATCAACACACATACACACACACACATATATTGTTACGTCTCTGTTCGTTTGTTAATTTCCCATAGAAATTGTTTCCGAGAAACTTCAGCGATACAAGTCCTTTCTTAACTAAAATTAGTTTATTATTTCTCGATATAACTTTATAATACACAGAATTTCCACAGTCAATATGTTTGCAATCTCGATAACAAAACACACACTTTATATTACCGTCACTACCGCTCACTTGACTCAGTTATCTGTCTCTATCTATCTGCAATTATTTGCCAAGCTTATATACTAAAATAGAGGGCGTCTGGAAAAGACTAGAGTTGCCTGGAAAAGTCACGATCCTTCGAGAATCTCATGACGTGTTACCAGAGTCACGTGACTTCCGCTGCCGTAACAATATATACACCAATTAAAAAAAAAGAGAAAGAGTTCGTGACGAAAGTAATTCATTACGTTTTAAATAAAAAATGAACGAATCATATGAACTTAAAAAGTTTCTAAGATACAATGTTATATTTACTCCCCACTTATAAAACGTATCACAAATATTATCCCTGATAGGTTATTTTGTTTTCTTTATGTTTCAGACTTATAAAAAAACCGAAATGGTCTGTTTGCAATTCAACGTCACATACTGTTTGGTAGACAGAACATAATATGTGAAATATTGCGTGATTTTGAGTTGTCCGATAATGATTAAGTATTGACTTTTTTTTTCACATTTTGGGCGTTACTTTTTATTCAACCTTGTAAACATGTATGTGCTTTTAATTAAGTAATTGCGTCAAATTAATAAGAGAAAATATAAAATAAACTGCCTTGTATGTTATTACTTTGACTTTTTCGTTTGAGTTGCTTGATAAAAGCAAGCATAAATGTTATCAGAGTAAGAAAAATCCAGTTGTCAGCTTTTATAAAACGATATATCTTTTAAAACTCATCCGTGATTAGTATTACAACCGTACGCAATAGTTTTTATTGATATTTCATGCAGAATTTCTTGTATATTCTACCCTGTATAATACATATGTTATTTAAGTTTGTAGAACAATCAAACTATACTAAACACATAAATCTGAAATGTTTATAATATTTGTGTTATAGGCTATGGTTTTAATCTTTTAATCTAAATGTTTTGTATTGTTTTCTAAAGGAAGTTTTGGCATAATATATGATAACACGTGACACCTAGCAGCTGTAAATGTCTAAATTTGACGCAACGTCTTGAATTTTCGTGAGATTTAGAGAAAAGAAATATATAAAAACACGACTGAGTCAATTCAGAGTCAAAGAGCTAATGAGTCAGCCATTTGCGCAGTGAGTAAGTTAATAAGCCAATTCAACGCTGTGTTTCAACGAAGGAGAGATTTTGAAAGTAATTGACTGTTTAGTTTTATTTGGGATTTAGGCTGTACTTGTACGTTAAAGTCGAAGAAATATATCGCTTTCATTACAGTTAAGTGGGCCTATTTTTGCATTATTTTTACCGAATAATAAAAAAGAACCTGCACCAACGATAGAAGCTGTTAAAGCATTGGTGTGTGAAGTGAAATAATTTCAGTGAAAACAAAGTAGATCCCAGAAAGTACTTCAAATTCAAGATAACGATATATGGTTAAAATGAGTTCAAAAATTTTTCTGGATATGACGAACCAATAGAATGAAGAAATAGCAGAAAGAGTATTGAAAGAAGGCTAAGAAGTAAAGAAGAAAGAGATAGATGATTGAAAGAAGAACAAGAAGACAGAAGGAGAAAGTTGAAAGAAGATCATAAGATAAGAGACAGGAATTAAATAGAGGATTTATAAAAAAAAAGACATAAGATTTAAAGAATAATTAAAAACAATTTAATTGGAGACAAGATCGAAGAAACTATTGGAGATGTGCAGAAGACTTATAACAACAAGACTGAAGTAGCACAAGAAAGACTGCAATGACAAAATTGAAAAAGTACAAACATACATCAGCAAAGTGCAAAGAGTTATCAACGAAGTGCAGAAAAATTATAACAGAAAATTAATGAGGTAGTAAAGAACATCAGTGTGAGAATAAAACGTGTGGAAAATTGAATAACCAAACCAGTTGCACCTCTCTACACATCTTTAAGCCATGAGATGAAGTTTATAATATGGTAGTTAATCCCATTATTCATTGTTAAAGAGTTGCCCAAGAGTTAGCAGGGGGTGGTGTTAAGTAACTGCTTTCTCTCTCCAGTATATCACTTCAAAATTAAGGACAGGTAGTGCATATGGCACGAAATTCAAACAAACAAACACTACTGCTGCTGTGCCACCTGCCAAAGCAGAACCTTCCTGAACTACTCCAGCTGTGTCATTATCTCATCAATTAACATAATTTAGCAGGTCGGTTTATCATTCATATGATATACCAACAGATTATGATGAAAATGTACCACGGAGAGCTTATC